GGTTCTAGCAACATCCTCAATATCCTTTATGACAGATTTCAGAACAGCCATGTGTACTTCACCCAATAACCTTGAGTCCTGAAATATTGTAGGGTACTAAATGATAAGTATCACAAGGCAGATTCAAAAGTGAGGTTATAGATAAAGAAAATTTGAAGACAAGAACTTACATGATCATGAAAAGCTTGAAGAAACTCATCAAGAGTAAAAGACCGAAGGCCAAGAACATCAACGAAAGTAACCAAGAACTTCCACGCCTAGAAATACACATAACAGTTCAGCATTCATATAATAGATCATTCTGGAACCGCTTCTTCAATGACAATATATGCCCCCAGCCAGAGGGAACACAGAAAACTCACATCAATTATAAAATATTTTTCCAAAAAATTTTAATCATTATTTAAAATAAAGGTAAGCTACAAGTTTGCAACGCAGGAATTGCGTTTCAATTTCGACAAAGCAATATCAACTTCGTTGCAAATACTTTCTCTAGTAAGTTAACTTCAAAATAAAATAATTACAAAAAAAAGGTACAGTAACTTAGTTTGGCAGCAAAAGTCTCGCAAATTCGGAGAACAAATAGAACACCTAATAAACCTTACCAGGAGAAGTTTCGGACATTCGCTTCAGATTCAGTCCAAGGATGATTTGGAAAAGGCCTCTTCATTCACTCCAAGTTTGGCCACATATCTACATGTAATTTGTGTCAATAGTTGGTGAGAAAAGAGAACTGAGGACCTTCATTTATTTGACTTTGGACACTCATTAGAACAGGGAGAGGGACAGACCTTGGCCAAGGAGGAGTTGGCGCGAGGAGAGGGAGTTGGCGAAGGAGAAGAGGGAGTGCTTCGAAAGTTAACCGACGGTCTTTCTTTGAACGACAGAATGACGTTAGGGCGTATTTATAGAAATAATTTCAGTATTTTTTTTTTTCCTTCAATAATTTCAGAATGACGTTAGGGTTCATTTATGGAAATAATTTCAGTCTTTTTTTTTTTTTTCTTCAATAATTTCAGAATGACATTAGGGTTTATTTATGGAAATAATTTCAGTATTTTTTTTTTCCTTTAATAATTTCAGAATAACGTTAGGGTGTAAAAGCCCAAAGTGTCCAAAACCCACAGCTCAACTTGTTGGGCTTTGGATTGGACTTGGCTTTCTTTTAGGCTTTAGGTGTCCAAGTCCATTTTGCTTGTTTCTAATTATCTTCTTATTTTTTAATTTTCTTTTTTATGTGTTCGACAGACATTTTTTTCCTCTTATTTATTTATTTTTTCTTTCCAATAAAATTTTTAATTGATAAATTTCAATCTCCAATATAATTTAGATGGAAGAAAAGGAAAACATCAAGTTTAACCTTAAATAGACCATTTAAACGGAATGTGCCATTCTTGGAAGTGAAAAAATATGTGTCTTAGTCGGTTTGGTTGAGTGTAGAATTGGTGAACTTTCTTAATCAAGAAATACTCTCCGTTGGTATGAGACATGGGAGCTATGCTCAAAGTGGACAATATCATACCATTGTGGAGAGTCGTGTTCATCTAACATGGTATCAGAGTCATGTTTTCAACTTAGTCGTGCCAATAGATTGGTAAATCCTCAAATATCGAACAAATAACTCCAAAAGAACAGGTCGAAGGCAATAAAAAATGACTAAGGGTAGACTCACGTTGTTTGAGGGGAGGTGTTGAATGATGAAAGTCTCACAATCGGTTAATTTATTTTTTAGTCATTTATTGTAGGACCTAATGAACCAAATTAATTAATGAGACCCTAATGTGCTTGATTAATTAATTTAGCTATGATTTTGAAATCAAAAGGTTGATAAAAGAAGGTATGGTAGAAAAAATAATCAATCAAAATTTGAGAGTGGAAGAAAAGATTACAAGAAAAAGAAAAACGAAAATGAAAGCATGCTGACAAGGCAGCACACACTTATCCTCAAATCAACTCCTATGATTCTAAACTCTTAAAAAAGAAGGCTAATGGCGATCAAACCAATTCCCAAAACCAATCCCAATCCCACGCCGTTTCTCACACCACCATCCGTCTCATCCGACGCCGGATTGGCGGCGTCAGATTCCGGCGGGGTTCCCTCGTCGGGAGAATTATCGGCCCTCGGACCTGGAGCTCTTGGAGGCGGTACGCCGGCGTGTTTCCCAAAAAGAGCATCAGGCAACAAAACTTCATCCACTACGTAAACACCCAACGGAGATTTCTCTCTTAGCTTATTGTTGATCTCCACCGTAACCACGCCGGTGGATACATTGACTTGGTTGGAATTCGGTTGCCCGGTGAAGTTCAGCCCCCAGTCTCCGGCCAGTGTCCTCGTCGGGTTGCTAACCGTCTGCAGATCCGTCACCGTGTAGAACTGCATCAAATTCAAACCAAAATATGATTATTATCATAACTTTAAGACTCTCCACAATTATATGATATTTTCCACTTTAGTATAAGGTCTCATGGCTTTGCTTTTGGTTTCCTCAAAATGTCTCAAATCAATGTAAACGAGTGATGTTCCACTAAATTAACCAACGTGGACTCACTCCTAATAATATATACCTTTAGTTTCCTCAAAATGTCTCAAATCAATGTAAATGAGTGATGTTCCACTAAATTATCCAACGTGGACTCACTCCTAATAATATATACCTTACTCAAGACATGGAAGAGGAGAAGCTGGCTCTTCTGTTGGTCGTTGAGGCTGTTGAGGGTGCCGGATTTAAGGGCGTTGAAGCCATTATCAGAGGGAGCAAGAATGGTCATGCCCTCGTGCGAGTTGTCGAGCTGATTCTCGAGCTGAGAGATCAGGTTGCTTTCGCCGAGGAGGCGAAGGAAGGTGCTGAATTGGCCGCCTTCGGCCAGAATGCCGGTTATGTTGATCGAAGCTTGGGCGAGAGTTTGAGAGAACAGAACAAAGGGTAGGAGGAGGAGGAGAAGAGCGGTGGAGGCCATGGCTGATGAGTTAATGAGAGTAGTGATGGAACTGGAGGTTTCTGCTGCTGTTTATAAAGGAGGGGAGTTGGAATTTGATTGGTTGGAAGTGAGCTGGATTTGTGGTGACACCTCAGATCTTGACGGAAAAGTTGGGATAATCGGAAAAAGTCTACGGCGTAAACAAATCTAAATGCATTACGAAAAATGAAATTATTTTATTTTATTTTAATTCTTTAGTGATTTTTGGTTTTCTTTTAATTTTGTATAAGGGATGTAAATGACTCTTAGTACCCTTTTTTACTCTTAATATTCATATAAAGGCTAAAATAGATTAGGGTCCCTTTCGGGATGAATTCGACCAATCTAAACTACTCAACTTAAACTATGAAAAGTGGGCATTTGTTAAATCATGGGTTGAGTCGTTACAAATGGTATTAAAGCAATAACTCTTCTAATAATATATGATTTAGAGACGAACCAAAGCGAAAGTTGGTGGGCATATGACACCCGAATAAACAAAAGGTACATAAATGAACCGATATCACATTCGAATGAGAGTGATCTTGAAAAATATAATTACTGAGAAAAATATAAAGGAAATTAAAATTACAACCTATACGATAATTACCATGATTAAATGATATACTAATATTTGATTAACTAATGATTGAAATATAATTTTGGTCTTACACGTTAAAAAAAAGAATCATAAATATATGAAATTTTATTTTCATGTTTATTTTTAGAAATGTGAGGTTTTTGAACAAGTCTCTGACTAATTGTGCATGTTTTGACCTTCTCATACATATTTAATAAATATTGAAAAATTAAATCTCCATATTATCAAATGATTTAGACTTAAATATAAATTTAGAAATTTATTAAACATTTTTTTAAATTAAAAGACTTAAATATCACCATTTTTGAAGAAATAACGAAGAATTTACTTACCTTTTCGATTTATCCATAGTCTGAACATTATAATTGTCATAAACTTGTATAAAGTAATTATTATGAACCAAGACATCTCAATCCTATACTATAAACTTAAAGAAAGTTGTGAAAAATGTTATTCAAACTATCGTAGGATAAAATCAAGTTACATTAAGTGAAGTCAAATTATATCAAAATTTTAAGTTGCAATTAATTTCACGTTAAAAAATAATCAAATTTTCATTATGTAATAAGGGCTTCAAAATATTTAAGTGAGGTTTTATTTCTTTTTAAGTGGTTATAAATTTATGATAGGGTATTAAAATCAAGATTTATAGTGTTTCATTACTAGTTTTAAGTTTTAAGATATTTTTAATTTATTTTTAGGTTATCTAAAAAAACTTTTGAAATGTCTTAATAAGAGTTTTATTTTGAGGCCATATAAAGTAATGCACGCTATCATTGTAAAGTAGAATCATTGCAGTTTTATGTAGTTTTTGTTACATATTTAGAATCATTCAAGTTTGACATTATCGATATTGTTTGAGGAGTGATTTGAATCTTAAACAAGTATTCTTATCCTGAGACATTTAATCAAAATGATAATCTAGGACTTATTTCCTTTAGGATGAAATCAAATTGATTAAGAAGTTTTAACATTTATGAACTAAGGATTTGTAGGTGCTTACAAGGGTTCTTAGATTCAACTAGCCATGATTAGAGATGTCCATGGGGTAGGACGAGGTGTGGGATAGAGAAATCCTCATCCCCACAATTTTTTTTTTTTTTTTTTTTTTACGGGATTGGGGTAGAGATTCCCCACGAGAAATTAGGTGGGACAGAGATGGAGAATTCAATCATCGTCCACATCCTCGTTTATCTCACGAGGAGAAATATCTCTCCACTCCCATCTCCATTATTCGAGATTCCTCACCGGGTTCCAGTAGGTTACAAGATATTATATTTTTTTTTGGCATAGAATATAGTTTTTTTATTTTTCTAAATTTATAATTTTATCTTCCTAAAAGAATTTCCAGGGTGGAAAAACAGTTAAAAAGAAAACTATTTATACATAATGAAAAAGAAATCTTAAAAATAGTTTGTTCTTGTAACGGGGGGTTTTGGCATGTGAGCTGCACTGGCCTGCCCTCAATCCATGATCTTCCTTCGACGACACCTCAAAACGGTGTTGTCTTCAACAATCCCCCCAATGCCAAGCAATCCATTATAAAATCCTCTCTTTCTCCTTCTGTTTCTTCTTCCTCCAGATCCTCTCGACGTTCATAATTCTTCTGTAATTCCAACAGCTTTAAGGATCCACATTGGCGGTGGTGGATGGCAAAAACCAACAAATACACCTCCATCAATTACAATCACATCTACGACAAGGATCTCTCCCCCAATTCCAAAACTGGCAACAATCCCTCCAAAAACCCATCATCTTCTTCTTCTTCCTCCTCCTCTTTCGCTTCTGCAACTTATTCTTCCATTTCTTCCGCTAACAAGTCCCATGGCCGCATGCTCGTCCTGACCCGTCCCACTCCCAAACCCATCTCTTCGCCGCCGGTCCTGTCCCCTCAGCCTCAATCTCGATCCCCATCTGCCGATCCTCGTCCTGTTGCGGATCAGACCCGTCCGCAATGCGAATCCGATTCGATCTCGCTTCGCCCTCTCGGTCGGACAGGTACGGGCGCGATCGCGCCGTCTCCGATTCCGAACTTGGAGAAGGACAAGGAGATTCCTCCTCCGACTGTGACGTTGCATAAACCGGAGAAATTTGTGCCGCCTCACCTCAGGGCGGGCTTCGTCGGGAAGGAGGAGAGACCTGTGAGCGTTGGGATCCGATCTAGGGAGGCGAATCAGAGGCAGTATGGGAATTACGGGTCTCCGGGTCGGTACGGTGAAGATGGGCGGCCGAAATCCGGCGGTGCATATGAGAGAATGAACGGGGCGGGAGAGGCAGATCAGGGGGCGATGGTGAATCGACCAAGATCCAGTGGGAATCGCCCGAATTCTAGTGGATGGTATGTTTCTCTCAAATACCATCAATACAATTGAAAACTAATTTTGGCCCTGCATTTTGGGTATGGAATTGCCTTCTGTGGATGCCCTGTTACCATTGAACTGAGATGCTGTTGTGGCTTTTTGAGTTTATTACGAGATTCTCTTGATGTAGTTGACTGTCTAAAGATGAATCAATTCATTTTATAATCTCGTGAGTAAATTATAGAGTAGATGGCTCCTTTTGTCTCAATGAATTGGGATTAGGACACTGCATTATAGGTATGAAATTGCCTTATTTGGATGCCCTTTTACCATGACACTGCTACACCCTTGTTTATGAGTTTGATTTTTATGAGATTCTCTTGATTTTGAAAGGCTCTGTGAAGATGAATCAACCCATTTCATGGCTCCTTTTTTGGGTCTCTGTAGTTAGACTGCTAAGTGTTGGCCTATAAGGTGTAAAAAGTTTCTTAGGATAGTTTGAAGGTTTGACTTGTTAGAGATGAACACGACTTTCCACAATAGCATGATATTGTCCACTTTGAGCATAAGCTCTCATAGGTTTGTCTTGGGCTTCCCCAAAAGGTCTCAATGGAGATAGTATTCCTGACTTATAAACCCATGATCATTCTCTAAATTAGCGGATGTGGGTAGAAAAAATGTAGAAAAAATGTAGAAGCCTCCAAAAGAATGCCCAAATAGACCATCTTGGTCAAACATCTTGCATATCTCCCAACACAGACATCTCATTTTCAGACTTCTTGATTGTATGCTACACGCAATCTCCCAAATCTAAATAACATCACATCATATTCTATTCCTTTGATGACACGACGCAAGGAAAACAATCAAACACAGCCCCAAAAGTTCATCTTGCTTTTGCTTTACTTGTTTGTGTTCATATCATTAATGTCCTGTTGTAAACATTGCTTTCATTCAATTTGTTTTCTCACTGAATTTATGTTGGCGACGAATAGCGCTTCAACGGATTCATTCTGAAGTTGGATACTTTTCCAAGGATGAAGATGGATCACGTCGTCGAATTTTTTACTTTTTAGAATTGTTTGCCATGGAAGATAAACGGATACCACCAAGGTGACAGGATCTCAACAATGAAGTGACGTACTTCAGATTCAGATTGTTATACCTCAAGGAAATTATGTTTCTTTGGCTTCTTCACCCTTCTTCTGCATTTCTGGAGAGGGATGGAAGGTCGTTTTGGAATGTAGAACTGACCGGCGTTATGTATTGTCGTCATTTTCGTCGTCGTCGTCGTTTAACTGCTTTTAGATCAGGGTTAGCATCTTGTGTGGAGGATGCTGCTGTGTTTTTCATTTTCCATCTCACAGTTTGTAAAACAAAGTTTCTTCTGGTGTGCGAGAATATTAGGTTTCTTTGAGCTTGTTGTGGTCTATCAGTACATTTCATTGTTGAATTCTTTCTAGAGATGATTAATGAAATGGCCATTCTAATGCAACCGCAGCTCCAAATAACATGTGAGAAAGCAAGCCAACAAACGAATCAGACCTCTACGATGGTATGATATTGTCGACTTTGCTTTTGGTTTCTCCAAAAGGTCTCATACCAACGAAGACATGATCTTCTTCTTAATTAGCCAATATGGGACTCCTCCCTCTACAAATTTCTAGAAATCCTTTTATTCAATTAAACTTTCAAGTTTAAATACACGTAAAGGTGCTCGAGACTCCTATTAGCGAAAGGGTAATCGAAGAAACCTTAGATAAGGGTCGGTAGACAATACCCTCATGGGTAAATTTCTATAAGAGACCTCAAACCCAGTATGGGAAAGATCTTGTAGCCACTGAACCCAGCTTCCTTGAAAGCTTCACTCCACTCCTTCTCATCTCTCTCTCTTCCATTTAGCAAACCCATCATTACCATGTCGAAGCATAACTGAGATTGAATGAACGTATCCTCCAGCTTGCTGCCTACCACCATATCAATTACGATCACCTTCCCTTTCTTTCCATTGCTTGTGATTGCTTCTTTGCAATTCTTTAATATCTTCACACAATCTTCATCATTCCAATCATGTAATATCCACTAATTTCATCACATATGCAAAAATACCATCAATCTAATATTAATTCAATACATTGAAGCTTTTGAAGTAGAAACAAGACAACTTAAGTTTACCTTCAACACAAGAACATCGGCAGGAGGGATAGCTTTAAACATATCTCCTTCAACATATTTTAAGTTTCCTTCACCCTTCAACTCACCCACCACTTGGGGAAGATCAAACACTGCGCATTCAATTTGTGGGAAAGCCTCTGCAATGGCTTTGCCCACAGTTCCAGTGCCGCCACCGACATCAACTAGCGAGGCAACTCCATCAAAGACTCCTTTATGTTTGTCCAATAACACACTCATCACCAACCTTGCATCACTCGCCATGCCTGCATTAAAAATGTCACCATGTTTCGGCTTACTGCCCATGAACTCCCAATACGATATTCCATGAGCCGTATCGAATGGCGTTCGGTCTTCGCTTTTGAACCAGACAGAGAGGAGATGCCATGGTTCCACGAGGGCTGGTTGGAGTATGGAAAGTAAGAGAGGTGTTACACCACAAGGATTGTATTTAAGAAGAAGACGAGATGAATTGGTTAGGACATATCCTTCTTCTTCTTCTTCCTCTTCGCCACTATTTTTGGGCAATTTTTGTAGTACAAAGAAACCAGAGTGAGTCAATAGACGCATTAAGCGATATATGAAGCGAGTCTTATGAGGATGGAGTTGGAGGGCTGAAACAAGACGAGAAAGGGGCATAGGGTGAGGGCCATGGCGGTGGATGGCGTCTGGTATGCCTAGTTCAACCGCACATTTGAGAGTCATGGAGTTGATGAAGTTGAGGAGGTGGTTCCATATGTGGGCTTGTGCTTCTAGCAGCTCATCGCCTGCAACTATTGGCAACATGTTTTCACTCTCAAAATTCATATCCACAACCATCAAGAAAGAAAGATCGAGTGTAAGAAATTTAGGTGAGAGGTTGTTCTATTTATTAACAAGACAAACATATGAGTGTACTATTCTTTATGGCTGTTAATTTACTAGCGTGCTAAAAAGAAATAAAGTCTAAATTAATAAAAATATTTATCTGAAAAATATACTTTTAAATTTTAAAGGATATTTTTGAGACAAACAACGTATTTTTATTAATTTAACATAAAATAAAATAATAATAATAAAGAAGAAATAATTAAAAAAAAAAAAGAAAAAGAAAAAAGGAAACATGAAACATTTATTTTCAGAAAGATTTCCGTATTAAGTTATTTTTGTGTGGTTAAGGTTGGCTACAAAGAAAAAAGTGCACCAACTCTTAATGATGGCGACTATTTCTAGAGTTTTATTTTTTTAAGAAAAAAACTAATTTTGATGCTTAATTGACCAACTTTACCGGTACAATTATTATTATTATTATTATTTTGAGAAATTCAATGTTGGTTCAAATTGAGCTTTCAAGCTAGTTATCTAGATTAAAAATAAAAAATAAAAAATAAAAAAAAATCTTGAGGAAGGATGGAAGAAAATTGAGACGCAAGCTCAGCTCTAGGTGCGATAAAAGACAATGTTGCTTCAACGATACTATTAAATTGTTGGACAAACCAATTTTCGAGCAAGGGTGGCATTGAGACGCTACATAACATTAACATAAACCCAGTATGAAAAAAGAAATACTATGCTATCAATGAACTAGTAAAGAAAAATAATGCATACTACTATACTATCTTAGCTTCTATGGTCATTCTAGCTCCATCGTCAATCGTGTTAGGGCATTATACCCTTACCTGAATTATAACAGTAACATATAACTTGAGTATTTTAAGAAAAACTCAATAAGTAACCTCACTATTGGGGTCAGGTAATGCAAACACACACATACATAATATGATCTATCTTTTTAAAATAACATAACATGGTCTTGAGCTCTTTCTAGTCCCAATATGATTGGGTATGTGGTACTTCCCCACACATGTGCACATGGACCCACTAGATGGGTTCGTATATGAACCCACTGAGCTTGACTTGTTGGGCTAAACGCGTTGACGATTCATCGGACACCACGAAGGGAAAGGCCAAAATATCATGTTGAACATAGATATTGAAGGTACGCATATGTACTAATATAACATAACAGAAAAAAGTATATGATGCACGTAATATACATAATTGCATGAGGTTCCATAACTTAAAATCATAGCATATAATAAAAATCATTCTCCTTCCATTCATGTCATAGTACACATATGAGTAATGTATGCATAGTACTCACTATGGCTTTCATCATACATCATCACAGTATAATATAATCTATAACATAGCTATTAATGGCATATCATACATTACCATGGCATAATAGGGCATCACATACATACATAGCATGGTATGGTATAATAGTAGCATAGTATAACTTTCCTAATTATTATTTTTTTTATAAGAATAACTTTCCTAATTTTGATGCATGTAGGGTTCATAGGACATGCACCATCATACATTATATACTAGTGGAATCAATTATAGCATACTAACTAACTTAATTTACTTTCTCAAGTAATTCCTATTTCAATCCAAATAATTTAAATTAAGAGGATTATAATGACCTTAAATACCTTAAAATAAGTCAAAATAAGCTATAGTAGGAGAAAAAATATAAAAATCGGTACTAAAATGTCTATACCGAAACGAATACGCAGTTTTTGAGCTGTTGAGTAAGGAGACTACAAATCCATCACTAACATCATTTTGAAGCAATGGATCATGGGTCGTAGAAATAACATTCATAGAGAGGTGCCCAAGCCTCCTAATAACAGAAAAGGGTAATCGAAAAGCACTAGGAAGGGATTACATAAACGTTACATAATATCCTTAAAACACCATTTTTGTAGTAAATCATAAAATGAAACATCACTAAATGGAAGATAGTCTCATGGGTAAATTTCTATAAGAGACCTCGAACCCAATATGGGAAAGATCTTGTAGCCACCAAATCCAGCTTCCTTGAACAATTCACTCCACTCCTTCTCATCTCTCTCTTTGCCACTTACCAAACCCATCATCAACATGTCGAAGAACAACTGAGATTGAATGAACGTATCATCCCTTTTGTTGTTGCCTACCACCATATCAATTACTATCACCTTCCCTTTCTTTCCATTGCTTCTGATTGCTTCTTTGCATTTCTTCAATATCTTCGCACATTCATCGTCATTCCAATCATGTAATATCCACTACGTTCATCACATATGTAAATACCATCAATCTAATGTTTATGTAACGGCCCAGATCCACGTTAGCAGATATTATCCTCTTTGGACTTTCCCTTTCGGGCTTCCCCTCAAGGCTTTAAAACGCGTATGGTAGGGGAAAGTTTCCACACACTTATAAATGGTGGTTTGTTCTCCTTCTCAACTAATGTGGGACATCACAATTCACCCCCTTCGAGGCCAGTCCTCGCTAGCACTCTTTCCTTTCTCCAATCGATGTGGAACCACCTCCAAATCCACCCCCTTTGGGGCCCAGCGTTCTTACTGGCACACCGCCTCGTATCTACCCCCCTTCGGGGAACGGTGAGAAGGCTGGCACATCGTCCGGTGTCTAGCTCAGATACCATTTGTAACGGCCCAGATCCACCGCTAGCAGATATTGTCCTTTTTGGGGTTTTCCCTTCCGAGCTTTCCCCTCAAGACTTTAAAACTCTTCTGCTAGGGAAGGTTTCCACCCCTTGTAAATGGTGGTTTGTTCTCCTATCCAAAATGGATATTTATTTATCATATATATATATATAGAGAGAGAGAGATAGCTTTGGAAGCAGAAACAAGAAACTTTATTTTTACCTTCAACACAAGCACATCAGCAGGAGGAATAGCTTTAAACATATCTCCTTCAACATATTTTAAGTTCCCTTCACCTTTCAACTCACCCACCACTTGGGGAAGATCAAACACTGTGCATTCAATTTGTGGGAAAGCCTCTGCAATGGCTTTGGCCACAGTTCCAGTGCCGCCACCGACATCAACTAGCGAGGCAACTCCATCAAAGACTCCTTTATGTTTGTCCAATAACACACTCATCACCAACCTCGCATCACTCGCCATGCCTTCATTGAAACCCTCCCCATCTTTCACCTTATTCCCCAAGAACTCCCAAAACGGCATCCCATGAGCCGTATGGAATGGCGTTCGGTCTTCACTTTGGAACCAGATTGAGAGGAGCTGCCATGGTTCCACGAGCGCTGGTTGGAGCATGGAAAGCAAGAAAGGAGTTACAGCGCAAGGGTTGTGTTTAAGAAGAAGACGGGATGAATTGGTTAGGACATATCCATCTTCTTCTTCTTCTTCTTGTTTGCCATTATTTTTGGGCAGTTTTTGAACCACAAAGAAGCCGGAGTGAGTCAATAGACGCATTAAACGATATATGAATTGGGTCTTATTAGAATGGAGTTGGAGGGCTGAAACAAGATGAGAAAGGGGCATTGGGTGAGGGGCATGGCGGTGGATGGTGTCTGGTATGCCTAGTTCAACCGCACATTTGAGAGTCATGGAGTTGATGAAGTTGAAGAGGTGGTTCCATATGTGGGCTTGTGCTTCCAGCATCTCATCGCCTGCAAGAATTGGCATCTTTTCACCTTCAAAATTCATATCAACAACCAAGAAGAAAGAATAATGAAATGTAAGAGTGTGAATCTCCTATACAATGGCATCCACCTATTTATGAGTTTTATTCAAGTTACGTGATAAAAAGAATGTAAGGTTGAAATAGCGATAAAATAATACAGAACGTAAGGTGCAAAAAAAATGTAGGTTGAAATAGTGATAAAATGAAATAAAACATACAAGAAACTTCATAAAAATTTATCCCTATTTTTTTTTTTTTGCAGCCATGTGATCCAAGGCCAACTGAATTAATTATTGTTATTATTTTTATGGTTTTTTGTGTGGTTAAGTTAGGCTGAAAAAGAATAGAAATAAAGAAAAGAAAAGAGTGCATTAATTTTTTGTGTGGTTTTTAATTATTTAATTATTTTTTATTTTTTATTTTTATAATACCAGTTTTGATGCTTAATTGATTAATTTTACTTGCCTAATTATTTATTTTATAGAAATAAAACATTTGAACCTAAATGGAGATTTTAAGAGAATAATCAAGAAAAAATAGAAATTATTGTTATGGGATGAATTCTGATGCTTATTCATAGCTTAGTCGTCAACATTAGTCGTCAACAGTGATGTTTAGTCGTCAACAGTGATGTACTGAGTATTAGGTATGGTTATGTTATTTTATTTTAAGAGAACAATTATTGTTAGGTTATGCATATTAAAAATACAGTAAATAATTAAATTATCATAAATAGTAAATAGTTATGTACAATAAAAAGGGAACAATTATGGTTAGGTTATGCATAGTAAAAATACAATAAATAAATAAATTGTCATAAATAGTAAATAGTTATGTATAATAAAAAGCTACGTATATAGTTATATATTGTAACGTCCCAGATCTACGGCTAACAAATATTGTCCTATTTAAGATTTCCCTTTCGTGTTTGCCCTCAAAGCTTTCAAATGTGTCTACTAGGGGAAGGTTTCCACACCCTTATAAATGGTGGTTTGTTCTCATTCCCAACCAATGTAGAACATCACATATATAATAGATAGTTATATCGAGTAAAGCTTTGAAAATATACTTTCTATTCTTTGTATTTTCTCTAAACCCTAAAGCCTGTAGTCATCAATATAAACCTTGAGCGAGAGTTCTCCTCCATTTTCTCTCTCCTATTTCTTTGTGTTCAAGTGCGTGTCTTGTTGTGCAATCGTAACAATTATTTGGGCAAAAATAGAAGAACATTGTGAGCTGTGGAATACACCATAGAGCCTCCCTTGAGGTCTCCTTCTCTAGAACTCTCGAATATCCTCCCTTAATCAAGGCTCGACTTTTTCTCTAGAACCCTAAAAAAAATACATCATTTGTTCGATACTTGAGCCACTTTGACAATATCTTCAAAGTTCACAATTAAACCAAGAAATCGGAAGAAATTATCTTCTTATTCAAATAAACTTTTAAGTAGAAATACATAGAGGAGGAGTCCAAGACTCCTAATAACACAAAAGGGTAATCGAAAAGCACCAAAAAGGGATTACATAAACTTTACACAATATCCTTAAAACACCATTTTTGTAGTAAATCATAGAATGAAACATCACTAAATGGAAGACATTCTCATGGGTAAATTTCGATAAGAGACCTCGAACCCAATATGGGAAAGATCTTGTAGCCACTGAATCCAGCTTCCTTGAATAACTCACTCCACTCCTTCTCATCTCTCTCTTTTCCACTTACCAAACCCATCATCAACATATCAAACAACAACTGAGTTTGAATGAACGTATCCTCCCTTTTCTCGTCGCCTACCACCATATCAATTACCATCACCTTCCCCTTCTTTCCATTGCTTCTGATTGCTTCTTTGCATTTCTTCAACATCTCCACGCATTCTTCGTCATTCCAATCATGTAACACCAACTAAGTTCATCACATATGCAAAACTATCATCAATCTAATATCAATTCAATATATTGAAGCTTTTGAAGTAGAAACAGTTGGATAGTTAGATGATGGAAGTACCACATCGGCTAATTTAAGAAATGATCATGGGTTTATAAGTGAGGAATACTAATTCCATTGGTATGAGGCATTTTGGGAAACCCAAAGCAAAGCCATGAGAACTTATGCTCAAAGTGGACAATATCATACCATTGTGGAAAGTCGTGTTCGTCTAACATGGTATCAGAGCCATGCCCTAAACTTAGTCGTGCCAATAAATTGGTAAATCCTCAAATATCGTACAAAGAACTCCAAAAGAAAAGGAGCCAAGCCTCCTCGAAGGCAGTAAAAAATGACTAAGACTCTAAAGGACTCGAGCCTCAAAGGGGACAATATCATACAATTGTGGAGAGTCGTGTTCATCCAACAGAAACAACAAAAATTATATAAATGTTTCCCCAATAAGATTCTCATCACCAACCTTGCAAATATCGATAATTATATAAATGTTGTTCATAACTATTGTTACTTTTGAATTTACCATTAAAATAATTCGGCGACATGTTTTTAAAAGCTAAATTAGGTGGGTGTAAATAGGTGGGTGTAAATATTTAAATATAAAACAAAAGGTAAAGTAAAAAGAAATAAACTAATTTCAAAACATGCATGAACTTAGTACATGCGTGATAACAGTGTACGGAGAATTATGCATCATAAATCATCGAAATATAAATATGATCCTACGACATGACATAGTATAGTCACAACATAACATACCATAATATGACATATCCTAGCGTAACATAGCATAACACAATATAACACATGCAAAACAATCATAATCATGAAATATGCAGGGGCCATGAGACACTTGTCATTGTACGTCATACAATTCGTCCATTCAAGTCAATAATAGAACTACTTACTTGGTTAGTCTAAGCTAGAATTACTATGTCATACAATTCGTCTATTCAAGTCAATAATAGAACTACTTACTTGGTTAGTCTAAGCTAGAATTACTATTTTATCTTCGATCCTAACCTGTTAAAGGGACGATTTGCCTCAGTACTCACCTCAATTACCTCCGATAACATCACCGAATGGTCCATAAAGTCACATAGGTGAAATCAGATTGTGGATTGGGTCATGGGTCGGGTCACTAAACCGAGTCGGTGCAGGTCTAGAAGTTGGGTGGTTGGTGGGAGATTGGGCCATGGGCATACTACTGGCTGGACTACATAGATTATTGGGCTAGTCTAGCAATTGGAATGTGGGCTGGAGTGGATTGGGTTGTGGACGTCTTTGGTATGGAATACATAGATTTAAGGGAGTGAATAAGTTAATTTCTTTTCTTTTCTTTTTTTTTTCAAATTTTTTAAACTATAGTTTGTGACAGCGCCAGTTTGATCATTGATTATTAAAAATATACAGAAACAATAATAAATTATTTATTTATTTATTTTTCTATCAACTAGCTAAACACATGTTAGCACGTGACGAATAAAATACTTTGATCTAGCTAATAATAAACTAATTACAATTAGACACATTTAACTTTGGTAAATATATGTATTAAACAAAATATATGTATCCTTAACCTGATCTAACCTTGAGAATATAAAACCTTATAATTTAACACATCCTTCAGCAGACCTAGTTGTTGGATCATAAATAACGACAATACAATGTTGATTGATATGGATTTGGAGGGTGCAAAAATGGGAGCAGTGGAGGGCGACGAGCTCCTGGAAGCTCAATCTCACATATGGAATCACATCTTGGCGATTAACAAGTCCATGGCTCTCAAATATGCGGTTCAAGTTGGCATACCAGACATCATCCACCGCTATGGCCCCAACCCCATGCCGCTCTCTAAACTTGTCTCCGCCCTACAGCTCCACCCGCAAAACACCCCTCACATGCATCGCTTAATGCGAGTATTGGTTCACTCTGGCTTCTTTCGAACGCAAAAACTGAGTGAACCAAACGGTGAAGAAGACGAGGGGTATGTGCTCACCAATTCATCTCGTCTTCTTGTTACAACCAACCCTTTGACTCTAGCTCCTTTTGTGTTTTGTGTTCTTGAGTCGGCCTTCTTCCAATCATGGCGCTCCCTCCCTGCCTGGCTCCAAACTGAGGACCGAACACCCTTTGACACAGCCAATGGAGTCTCGTTTTGGGAGTGTCTTGCGAATGACTCGACGGATGATGGCGTCATTTTTAACAAGTCCATGGCGAGTGATGCCAAGTTTGTGATGCGTATTTTGTTGGAGAAATATAAAGATGTGTTCGATGGGTTTGGGTCGTTGGTTGATGTGGGAGGTGGGACTGGAAATGTGGTCAAAGCCATTGCTCAAGCCTTTCCTAAAATGGAATGCACTGTGTTTGATCTCCCACAGGTTGTGGGTGATTTGAAAGGCGAAGCCAACTTCAAATATGTTCAAGGGGACATGTTTCATGCCATTCCTCCAGCTGATGCAATTCTATTGAAGGTAAAAACTTCATTTCCTTTTTTATATATACGTACCGATACCTTATTCTTATTAGATGAACACGACTCTCCACAATGATACCGATACCTTATTTTTATTAGATGAACACGACTCTCCACAATGGTACCGATACCTTATTCTTATTAGATCAACACGACTCTCCACAATGGTATGATATTGTCCACTTTGAGCATGAGCTCTCGTGGCTCTATTTTGAGGTTCCAAAAGGTCTCACACCAATGGAGATAGTATTCATTGATTATAAACTCATGATCATTTTCTATATTAGCCGATGTGGGACTTTTATCATCTAATAATTCTAATTTGTGAACGTCTGAAAATAGTGGATACTACATGATTGGAACGACGAAGAATGTGTGAAGATTTTGAAGAACTGCAAAGAAGCAATTACGGGCAATAAAAAGAATGGGAAAGTGATAGTAATTGATATGGTGGTAGGTAACGACACAAGAGATGAGTGTACTGAAACTCAACTGTTTTTCGATATGATGATGATGCTGATGCTTGGTGGAAAAGAGAGAGATGAAAAAGAATGGGCTCAGCTTATCAAAGAAGCTGGATATAGTGGCTACAAGATATTTCCAATTCTGGGTTTGAGGTCTCTTGTCGAAATTTATCCTTGACCAAACCTCCCTATGTTATTGACCTTGGATCGAACCGTTTGAATTATTGTTATCAATAAAAAATGTTGTACTCAAATATGACAACAACCTAAATGTTCTGATACCAATTGTGGTAGTGGAAGTGGAAACAAGATCGATCATACTCACACACACCTACAAACGAAATGTTTATTAATAGTAGTTGAATTCAATCAAGCACACGATAGTTATTTTCAGTGCCCTCATAGACATACTAATCCATGGCCATGCAAACACTCGCGGTTCGACAAAGGAATTCAACCTCACCGATTAAAACATGTAAATTGAATTCATTGTAATCCTTGTCATAATACTTAATATGAGTTATATGGCGTAGTATATGGAGGATTATGTATCACAAATCATCAAAACATAAATACGATCCTACGACATGACATAGTGTAATATAACATAGTATAGTCATAACATATCATAATATGACATATCCTAGTATAACGTAGCATAACACAACATAGCACATGCAAAACAATTATAATCGTGATACATGCAAGCACCACGAGGCACGTGCTATCATATGTCATACAATTCGTCCATTCAAACAAATAATAGAGCTACTTGGTTGGTCTAAGTTGGAGTTACTATTTTATCTTTGGTGCTAGTCTTAAATTAACCTTGAAGCATGAGTCCACTCGGGATAATTTGCTTAATCATCTCAAATAATCCTCTAATTTAGCTCAACTCAATTACCTCCAATAATATCACAAATAGCTCCAGAATGGTCCATAATGGTAAGACAAGAGTCACATAATCCTCCGCATATATTGATAATTATATAAATGTTGTTCATAATGATCGTTACTTTTCAATTTAAAATTAAAATAATTCATCGCACTAATTAGGATAGTTCATAACCCGTGACATGCTCTTAAAAGTTAAATTAGGTGGGTGTAAATATTTAAATATAAAACAAAAGGTAAAGTAAAAAGAAATAAACTAATTTAATATGTTCCAACGTTATTTTTTTAGTAAACATTTTTTTAAAGGTTGTTGTTGCCTTGTCTTTTGTGTTGTGATAAAGTCAGAAAAAAATTAAATAATAAAAGAAACGACAAATGGTTGAATATTGATGTATTTGGGATTGGGCCATGGGCATGCCACTAGCTACACTACATAAATTGTTGGGCTGGCCTAGCAATTGCACGGATCTAAACATTTTAATTATTTTTATCAATAAAACAACACTTATTCTACTTATATTCTACTTATTCTTTTGTTTCCTTTTCGTTTGTTTCAAGAAATATATCGATCAATTCTTTTTCTATTGATTCTTTTCCGATCGAGATGTATGGATCCATGCGCCTATGTGTCTATATAGATCCTGTTCATGGATTAACGAAAATGTACAAAAGCTCTATTTGTTTCTATCATTTTATGAGTCTCTTCCTTTTTACGTATGACATCGCCACTCCCTTCCAGCATCCACTAGTTCAGAACTTAATTTGAAAGCCATATTTTGACCCGGACGTTTTCGGGATGCCCCTAATATATTTCGATGCACATGACATACATAAATGCATGAAGTTTTCATGACTTAAAATCATAGCATATAATAAGAATCTTTCTCCTTCCATTCATGTCATAGTACACATGAGTAATGTATGCATAGTACTCATCATGATTTTCATCATACATCATCGCAGTATAGTATAACCTATAACATAGCTACACACGACATGATGACATAATAGGACATTACATACATACATAACATAGTATAATAGGTCATTACGTAACATACGTAGCATAGTATAGCTTTCATAATTACGACGCATGTAGGGTTTATGGGGGCATGCATCATCATACATCATACAATTCTTCCAACCAACCAACCAACTGCAAGGACACTAGGAGAAAAAATATATAGAAATCAATACCAAAATGTCTATACCTAGCCAAATGCGTCGTTTTTGAGCTGCCAGAACAAGGAGCCCACAAACCCATTACTAACATCATTTTTTTTTTTTTTTTTGTCGAGGGTTTAGGGTTTAGGGTTTATGGGTCGTGGAAATAACAAGAGCCAACAAAAAGACCAAACGTGAAAGAAACCCTCTTATTCAATTAAACTTTGAAGTAGAAATACATAGAGAGGTGCCCAAGACTCCTAATAACAGAAAAGGGTAATCAAAAAGCACCAAAAAGGGATTACTTCAACGTTACATAATATCCTTAAGACATCATTTTTGTAATAAATCATGAAATGAAATATCACTAAATGGAAGATAGTCTCAAGGGTAAATTTCTATAAGAGACCTCGAACCCAATATGGGGAAGATCTTGTAGCCACTGAATCCAGCTTCCTTGAATGCTTCACTCAACTCCTTCTCATCTCTCTGTTTTCCATTTACAAAAACCATCACTGCCATGTCGAACAATAAATGACCCTGAATCAATGTATCCTCCTCCTTGTTGCCTACCACCATATCAATCACCATCACCTTCCCTTTCTTTCCATTGCTCGTGATTGCTTCTTTGCAATTCTTTAATATCTTCACACAATCTTCATCATTCCAATCATGTAATATCCACTAATTTCATCACATATGCAAAAATACCATCAATTTAATATTAATTCAATACATTGAAGCTTTTGAAGTAGAAACAAGACAAATTAAGTTTACCTTCAACACAAGAACATCGGCAGGAGGGATAGCTTTAAACATATCTCCTTCAACATATTTTAAGTTCCCTTCACCCTTCAACTCACCCACCACTTGGGGAAGATCAAGCACCGTGCATTCAATTTGTGGGAAAGCCTCTGCAATGGCTTTGCCCACAGTTCCTGTGTTGCCACCCACGTCAACCAGCGAGCGAACTCCTTCAAAAAACCCTTTATGTTTGTCCAATAACACACTCATCACCAACCTTGCATCACTCGCCATGGCTGAGTTAAAGATGTCACCATGTTTCGGCTTACTGCCCATGAACTCCCAAAATGACATTGCATGAGCCATATCGAATGGCGTTCGGTCTTCACTTTTGAACCAGTCAGAGAGGAGCTGCCATGGCTCCATGAAGGTTGGATGGAGCATGGAAAGTAATAAAGGTGTTACCCCACAAGGGTTGTGTTTAAGAAGAAGACGAGATGAATTGGTTAGGACGTACCCTTCTTCTTCTTCTTCTTCTTCTTCTTCTTCTTCTTCTTCTTTGCCACTATTTTTGGGCACTTTTTGTGCAACAAAGAAGCCAGAGTGAGTCAATAGACGCATTAAGCGATATATGAATTGGGTCTTATTAGAATGGAGTTGGAGGGCTGAAACAAGATGAGACAGGGGCATAGGGTGAGGGCCATGGTGGTGGATGGCGTCTGGTATGCCTAGTTCAACCGCACATTTGAGAGTCATGGAGTTGACGAAGCTGAACAGGTGGTTCCATATGTGAGCTTGAGCTTCCAGCAGCTCATCGCCTGCAACTATTGGCAACATCTTTTCACCCTCAAAATTCATATCCACAATCAACAAGAAAGAATGATGGAGTGTAAGAAGTTTAGGTGAGAGGGCGTCCTATTTATACTATCATCTTCAAACTTTTTTTCTTTTATCTAAAAATTTCTAACGTTTTAAAGTTACTTTTCATCGTTCACTAAAATGAAAATTTTCCACTATAGATAAGGAAACTATTTGAAAAAATTAAAAGCAAAATAATATCAAATAATTGTGAAAATGATGTGAAGAAAGAAAAGTCTGATGAGTTAAAGACGAGAAACTCGTGGGAGTGATAAATACGACGAATGATACAAAGATCCAGCTGTCAATTTGGTGAGTGTCAATCTAAATTAGGTAAAATCTGGAGCACAATCCTAAGCATCTCACAACATATGCTATTGAGGGTCGTGGAAGTCCCACATTAACCTATTAAAGAGAAGATCATGGATATATAAGTAAGGGACACTATCTAATATAAACCAAGATACATCAATCATACAATATGCTTCAACGAAGATGTGAAGAAAATATTGTTGAAATTATCAAAAAATATTTCAATTCATACCACGTTGAAGAAGAATGAAGTTTCATGTTATAAATTTTGGGTGGATTACAATTTACAGTAATTTAGAGTTATTGTATTTCATTAATGTATTTTAAGACTTTTTATTAGGTTACAATTACATAATGGTTAATTATGGTTATTAAGTATGAATGTTATAACTCTTGGAATGCCTTTAATAGTTTCGTTTTGAGGCTATATAAAGTCATGTATGTTGTATTTGCAAAAGGACTTAGAAAATACAGTAAAATAAGCATTTGTGTCATTCTTTAACCAATGACTAAGTTTATTTGTAACATGATCATCTTGCTTGTAGAGTGATTCGAATCTCAAACAAGTGTTCTTACATTGAGATATTTGATCAACAAGAATCATTCAAGCTAGACATGATCGATCTTGCTTGTGAAGTGATTCGAATCTCAAACAATGTTCTTGCCTTGAGATATTCGATCAACAAGGAAATCCGAATCTTACTCCCCTTGTAGTGATTTCCACGTATCACTATCTTTATTAACAACTAAACTTCTTGAAAAAACTAAAAGTAAAATAGTATTATATAATTGTGAAAATGATATAAAGAAAAAAAAAACATATGATGAATTAAACGAGAAACACGTGTGAATGATAGATAGGACGAATGGTACAAAGTTCCAGCTAGTTAATCATCTTCAAAGTACAAAGGTCCAGCTAGTTAATCATCTTCAAAGTACAAAGGTCCAGCTAGTTAATCATCTTCAAAGTACAAAGGTCCAACTAGAGGTAACATCAACGAGGGACCAAAGGCATAAGTTACCAATATTGTCGCTGTCACACATTTTATAAAGTATTGGTATAAAGAAGGGATGATTTTTAGAACATTTTGAAATTTACATTTTCAAACTATTAAATCTATGTACCAATATTGATTCCTCCCATGTTCTAAAGAGTAAGCTCAAACATAAGTTGAAATCGATCAAGCACATGATCGTTATTTTCAGCGCACTCATACACTTGTACTAGTGCATGGCCAAGCAAACACTCAGCTGGACTAAGGAATTCAACCTCATGGATCAAAACATGTAGATTGAATTCATTGTAATCCTTGTCATAATACCTAATATGAGTTATATCGCTTAGTGTATGGAGAATTATGCATCATAAACCATCGAAATATAAATATGATTCTACAACATGACATAGTATAGTACAACATAGTATAATCACAACATAACATACCATAATATGACATATCCTAGTGTAATGTAGCATAATACATGCAAAACAATCATAATCATGAAACATGTTGGGGTCATGAGGCACGCGTCATCCTACGTCATACAATTCGTCCATTCAAATCAATAATAGAGCAACTTACTTGGTTGGTCTAAGCCAAAGTTACTATTTTATTTTCGATTCTAACCGGTTAAAAGGATAATTTGGTATGTACTCACCTCAATTACCTCCCATAACCTCACTAGAATGGTCCATAAAGTCACATAGGTCAAATCAGATTGTGGATTGGGTCATGGGTCGGGTCACTAAACCGAGTCGGTGCAGGTCTAGAAGTTGGGTGGATGGTGGCCGATTGGGCCATGGGCATGCTACTGGTTGGACTACATAGAATATTGGGCTAGTCTAGCGACTAGAATGTGGGCTGGAGTGGATTGGGCTGTGGACGCTGCTGGTAAGGATTAGACAACCAAAGATGGCACAAGTTCGGAAGGCTGGGCTGTCGAAGTTGAGATCCGGAGCTTGGTTCGGATCCCATGACGGGATCAGATCAAGGTCGGTGAATGGAGAGATTCAAGGGAGTGAACAATTTAATTTTTAAAATTTTTTTAAAATATTACATATGACTTAAAAAAAGATTTATTAAGAATCCTATGACCCACAGTGTGGCCAGTTTGATCATTGATTATTAAAAATAGACAGAAACAATATTAAATTATTTATTTATATATTTTTCTGTGAACGAGTTAAACACAGTTAGCACGTGACGAATAAAATATTTTGCTCTACCTAATAGTAAATTAGTTACAATCGGATGCATATTATTAGGAATCACGACTCTCCACAATGGTATAATATTGACTTCAGACCCATGAAGAGAGTATTCCTTGATTATAAACTCATGATCATTACCTCCTCTCGAACAAAGTACGTCTTCGCTTAATCGAGTAAATTGGTTACAATTGGATGCATATTGTTAGGAATCACGACTCTCCACAATGGTATGATATTGACCTCATACCAATGAAGAGAGTATTCCTTGATTATAAACTCATGATCATTACCTCCCCTCGAACAAAGTACACATTCGCTTAATCGAGGCTCGACTCCTTTTTTTTTTGGAGTACTTTGTTCGATATTTGAGGAGACTAAGTTTAGGGCATGATTCTGATACCATGTTAGGAATCACGACTGTCCACAATGGTGTAATATTGTCACTTTGAGTCTAAGCTCTCAAGGCTTTACTGTGGGCTTCCACAAAAGGTCTCGTACCCCAATAGAGAGAGTATTACTTGATTATAAACCCATGATCATTCTCTAAATCAGCGGAGAACACTACACATTAAATAAAATAAATGTATCCCATTTTGCATGCATCCTGATCTAACCTTGGGAATGTAAAAGTTAATAATTTAATATATCCTTGAGCAAATCTAGTTGCTATATATCATAAATAACGAGAATGCAATGTTCCTATGTATATATATAAACAATTGATATGGATTTGGAAGGTGTAAAAATGGGAGAAGTGGAGGGCGACGAGCTGCTGGAAGCTCAATCTCACATATGGAATCACATCTTGGCGATCAACAAGTCCATGGCTCTCAAATATGCGGTTCAAGTTGGCATACCAGACATCATCCACCGCTATGGCCCCAACCCCATGCCGCTCTCTAAACTTGTCTCCGCCCTCCAACTCCACCCACAAAAGACCCCTCACATGCATCGCTTAATGCGTGTATTAGTTCACTCTGGCTTCTTTCGAACGCAAAAACTAAGTGAACAAAACGGTGAAGAGGATGAGGGATATGTGCTCACTAATTCATCTCGTCTTCTTGTTACAACCAACCCTTTGACTCTAGCTCCTTACGTGTTTTTTGTTTTTGAATCGCCTTTATTCCAGTCATGGCGCTCCCTCCCAACCTGGCTCCAAACTGAGGATCGATCACCCTTTGACACAGCCAATGGAGTCTCGTTTTGGGAGTGTCTTGGGAATGACTCGACGGATGATGGCGACATTTTTAATAAGTCCATGGCGAGTGATGCTAAGTTTGTGATACGTATTTTGTTGGAGAAATATAAAGATGTGTTCGATGGGTTTGGGTCGTTGGTTGATGTGGGAGGTGGGACTGGAAATGTGGTCAAAGCTATTGCTCAAGCCTTTCCTAAAATGGAATGCACTGTGTTTGATCTCCCACAGGTTGTGGGTGATTTGAAAGGCGAATGCAACTTTAAATATGTTGAAGGTGACATGTTCCATGCCATTCCTCCCGCTGATGCAATTCTATTGAAGGTAAAAACTTCATTTCTAATACCTTATTCTTATTAGATGAACATGACTCTCTACAATGTTATGATATTATCGACTTTGAGCATGAGTTCTCATGGCTTTATTTTGGGGTCTCCAAAGGGCCTCACACCAATAAAGATAGTATTCATTGATTATAAACCCATGATCATTCTCTAATTTAGTCGATATGCGACTTTTATCATCCAACAATTCTAATTTGTGAATACTTGAAAATAGTGGATTATGCATGATTGGAACGATGAAGAATGTGTGAAGATTTTGAAGAACTGCAAAGAAGCCATTGCAAGCAATAAAAAGAATGGGAAAGTGATAGTAATTGATATGGTGGTAGGCAACAACAAAAGAGATGACCTCATTGAAACTCAACTTTCCTTCGACATGGTAATGATGCTGATGTTAGGTGGAAAAGAGAGAGATGAAAAACAATGGGCTCAACTCATCAAAGATGCTGGATTTAGTGGCTACAAGATATTTCCAATTCTGGGTTTGAGGTCTCTTATCGAAATTTATCCTTAACCAAAGCTTGTTATGTAATTGGGCCTGATCCAACCATTTGAATTACTTTTATCAATAAAATAAAACAACCGTTGTTTTTGTTGGACCGATATGCCATAACCTAAATGTTCCGATACCAACTGTTGTAGTGGAAGTAGAAATAGAATTGATCGTATAGAAAATAAACAAAGAGACACAAAGATTTACGTGATTCGGAGAGAAGAAATTCTCCTACATCCATGAGTGGTGACCAATCATTATAACCAGAGTGTTTACATCTCTCACGCTCTCACTCTCACACTACGAAGTCTCCCAAGTGTCACTCAACAAAAATACAAAATAGTATAACTCCACGTCTCAAAACAATATTAAATAAATTTTTATATAGGCATAGAAGCATTGATGTCATACATGAATCAAGATGATTTATGTATCATATCAAAATGGAAGATGAACCAAAAAGGGTTATGAATCAAATAAGTGCAATACATAGATAGGAAATACATG